CCTACACAATCTAACAACTTTTTCTTTAGTCGTCTTCTATCTTTTTATCCCTTTACATTCAAATTCTACTTGCTTATATACATATTTTTATTCCAGTAAACAAGCTGACAGATGTGACAACGACTCCTGGACCTGAAGGGACAGTGGACACCTTTACCCTGACACTGCACAGCAATGACGTATTCACAGGAGAACAGCAGAAGAAAGAACTTCTCATTGAGAAGTCTCAAGCTATGAATCTTCTTGAAGATCTCAAAAAAGCGTATAAGAAGATGGAAGAAGTTGAAGAGTAGAAAAGAAAGATTTTTGGATGTCCTTGTAAATTCTTGTTTTTAAGCTAATTGTAGCTTGACAGAATATTTTTATGTCTAAGGGCCTTGTTTGATTAGGACACAATGGTCATACAACCTTGCTGTCCATAAAGACACACACACCAGAACAAACACTAGAAATGAACAGTTGGTTGTACAACTGTGTAAATTTTTTGCACAACCCCTTTTTTTCAACGTCTTTGGCACAATCCATGACGTACGACCACGATGTCCTAATAAAAAAGGTTCTAAGGTGAATAACACATTACGAGATTGCGTAAATTCAATGTGTTATGTTCTCCACTTAAGATTTATTGCCATTTTACATTCCAAATATTTTTATGTGGACTCATAGGTTTAAATTGTATTCCTCACATAAGTTACACGTAAATTAAACTAATTAATTTAAATGTTGTTTATTTGGTTGACTACCTACCCGTATCAATAATGGACCACTGGGTGTGGGTGTGTGTGGGTCTATCATAGTTCCAAATCACACTGTATTATCATCATGATCAGTGTTCAAGAATCGAGGAATGCTATTGTGATCGGCGACCGCATACAAACTTAAGATAATCTCAAGATTAAGAAGACGAATTCGGATTTTAGGTAATTAACCAAGAAATAGTAGTTACTACAATAACTCAGGTAAATTGCTTTTACACCAAAAAGAGTACATTTTAACCGATAAATTTTAAATACTAGCAACACTGTATTTCGAAACGCAGCGTATTTTTTTGCTGGCAGCACATCAAACAACTGACTGACATTTTCCAATTTTGGCGTTTCGTTCGGATGAATGTTTGTTATTATTGTTTAATAGTGCTTATTTAATTAAAACAGATTTAATTCGACTACAAATTGGACGAAAATGATATCTTATAAATAACTTGGTGTTTTATGTAATAGATATATAATATAAGTGTAATATTTCGTATGAAGGTATATAGAATGTCTTCGACCTATTTGTGAAGCTTTGCGGATAAATAATAAATCTGCTATATTTATAAAAATCAAAGGTAAGCATGTATAAATAGTTATTTATAATTTTAAATTACATATACCAAATTCATATAGCAATGACTAATTTTGAAATAGTGTCGTAAAATGCGTACCAAAACATAACCTATAAAAAGCTTTGCAAATCTCTTTCAGATGCATATTTTGTGTACGATATGCAGTGATCTCGTAAATCAAGCTGAGAATATATTTGTGACTAAATGTGGTCATATTTTTCACCACCATTGCCTGGTACAATGGATTGAAAGGTAATAACTTAATTCTTTTGTTTGCGCACAGTATATCTATTTACTGAAACAAATTTCAGTCAGATTATTTATCAACCTGTATTATTTAATCCCCTAAACAATATAACAATCATTATTCGATCTATTTATAATATCTTTTGTGCTTACTAATGAGAATGGTCATTTTTAGTCCAAGTAACTAATCACATGTAATTAAATATTGATTTTCCTTGGACTAACAACATATATTTATAAAATTTCTACTAGGTCATTTAGTCCATAATTTCTTTAACATAATAGCATATCATTCAGTCCAATTGTATTTCCTACTCTAATCTAAGGAGTGGAATTCTTTGCCAGAGTCTGTATTTCCTGAAAGGTACCTGGATGTCTTCAAGGCTCAAGTGAATAGGTTGCTTATACGACGACGTGATTCATTGTAGACTGCATCATCGCCATTACCGCCAGGCGAGATAGTGGTCAAACATCAGATATTAAAAATAAAAATCAAAAGATAATCTCTTTATTTTTTTAACCAAACCTATCTTTTCCAGATCAAAAACCTGTCCACAATGCAGGAACAAAGTGACAGACAAATGTATGTTCCGTTTATTCCCAACTATATCTAATGAGAATAACAGTGAAGACGCAGCGACTTTGCAGTCCAGGTTAGACGATGCCCAGCTGCAGCTGCGGCAACAACGATCAAAGTTTAAGGAGAAGGAGGATAAACTAGCCATTCTTACGGCAGACTTGAAGAGACAAGAGTAAGTTATTTTTAACAGAATCAGTAATATTGATACCTAAGAATATCAGGCCTAATTTCAGACAGCTCATGTCTTAACCCATTTATACAGGTTATAAAGGTATATGATATTTCAACAGGTTAATGACAATTTTCAAATATGTAATATTGTAGTATCACTCACATCACTCAATGTTGTCTGATTTTGTGCTAAGCATCAAACTTACGAGCCAAGTCATTTGTGATCTTGATAGATACAAGTTCGGTTAGTTAACCCATTAGATGTCGTATCGGACAATGATGACTGACAATAATGTGGAATTAGCATTTAACAGTTTTTGTTGGCAGTTAACTCGTTGAGTACCATCATTATAGACAATTAAAGAACAATAGGTTGCGGTCACCGGTGACCGCTCGGTGTTTGACAGTTTAAAGGCTAAAAGAATAGAGTCGCTTATCTTCAGTACAGTTAACTTGCTTTGTATACACATTTTTTTTGCTATGCTCTATTCTTTACAACATTCAAAACACATAAACTATTTTTAAATAAAAGTCACTATTGGCTAGAATGATAGGCGGAAAATTGTAAGGATGATATACATACATCAGGTCTAACTCAAAATGGGTTTTTTTTTAAAGGGGTATAATCATCGAATGACTTCTCCCGCCTGACTCTCATTGGGTAGGTTTGTGTAGGGCATCCTTTACTTACTTCTCTAGACCTTGCTGGTGTTACATTAAAATAATAAATATCTATTGCAGTGATCTTCTAAAATCATATGAGAAGCGGCTGGTTAGCTTTGACTCCAAGGTGCTGGCTCTTAGGGAACAGCTGGAAATATTAAGCGTACAGAACAGAGAACTGCATAAAGTGAAAGAAGAAAATTTAAACTTGACTAAGAACATGCAAACACTTAATGGGTAAGAATTGTAAATTATGAAATGTATGGTTTATTGAGAGATATGGTTGAAGTGTGAATGGGCCAGCTCCACGGCCGACGACCGACGTGAAACAACGCTTGCGTTGTTTCACGTCGTGTGAGTGAAGTTATCGGAGGCCCAATTACCCCTTCCGCCCCTTTCCCTATCCCTGACAACAATCCTCAAATTTCTAATCCCAAAAGGCCGGCAACGTACGTGTAACGCCTCTGGTGTTCCAGGTGTCCATGAGCGACGCCGATTGCTTATCATCAGGTGATGCGCAAGCAGTTTACCGGTTTATCCAATAAAAAAAATTTTTGGATTTCTCAGAAGCGTTAAATCGATCTAGCTAAGTTTAGTTAACTATTACAAAATGTTTACTGTATTATGAATTACTCAACTAACTGACGACGAAGTTACCAGTTTTATTCAGTTGATTCTGGTTCCAGGTGTGACTTGAAACTAATATAGTAATTAGAGTATATTAGAATGTCTCTCATATATCCTAAGACACCTACCCATTTGAGATCTATTCTAGCTGGAATAGTTTTTGTATCCCGTCTACCAAAGTAAGAAAGAATGAATGAAAAAAGAAAATACATTTATTCAAAAACATTACAGTATTTCTAATATTATTAATGTTTCAATTTCAGTCTGCAAAGAGTGCTAAATGCAACGAGTGAAGATGTAGAACAGATGTTGCACAGCTACACTGATGTCAAAACTATTGCTACATTTGCCACGGCTCTTAAGAGGTAAATATCATTTAACTGTAATTTTTTTATGAAGAATGGTGTATATCTGTAACTTTTCATGTCTTGGAGGAACAGGAGTGACTGGGTAATTTCCTGGGTCAAAAATAAATACTAATTTATTTAAGATAATAATGGACATAAACACAAATAATATTAACTATTACTAAATGAAAATATAAACAACTTAAAATATAAATAACTAGGAACTAAAACATTTGCACCAAAAAAAATAATAATGATAAAAATGCTATAATAAGGCATCAAAAAAAAAATATTCCTCATGGCTATCGTGAGGTAGGGTGCCCAAAAGACTGGCAGTATTGCCACGTTGAATGGCAATGCTTAACCTTTGTCGAAGGTAGTAGCCAGCCCTTCGATAACCAGAAGTGTCAACCATCCTCCAAATATACTTTCATTCATTGGTTTCACGATACACTTAATTTTCGAATTATTCTAGCAATTTGTTCATAAATAAATGTGCTATTCGACGCGAAAATATGATAACGTCATAAGGTGGTATTTCGTACAAAAATCATAGAACCAGTATCGTTATTGACGTTTCGATAAAAATATTGAATTTGACTATTTATCAACTACTGTATTATAGCGTGTTATAGGATTTGTAATAAATTATATCTATCTTTTTTCAATAGAGCTCTATGTGACTCTGAGACAAAGAAGAATGAGACTCGAGACAGGCTGCACATGGCCAAACAGCAGCTAGCTTTGGAGAAGAAGACTGTTGCTGATCTGCAGAACCAAGTCGTGTGAGAACTTAATATGTTTTATGAAATTTCTACATAATTGACATTTGTGTTTATTTGTATTAAATAGTACAATTTTTATTACGTGATTATAAGGTTTTTCGATAGCTTTAAATTCCTTTCCGTTACAGAAAACTAGAAGACGACCTGCACCAAGCTCAAAACAGATATGACTCACTGAACAGTAAATATGAAACTCTTCAAAATGAAAAGGAAATGACAGATTTAAATAATCAGTTGATAAAGAAGACGGCTGATGTAATAGAGGTGCCCCAATCTCCTCTCCAATCACTCAATGACGCCATCTTGGAAACTCCCAGCAATAATACTAGCTTTGTAAGTTTTTTTTACCAATTTATATAATTTGTTCTCCTACAGTGGTTAGGGATCGGATTTGCGATACAGACTTTTTCCAATTTTTGTGGGTTTTGATCGATAAAAATTCATACGAAGGTCAGGTCGCACCAGTCAAAAAGATAATGAAGTTAATCAACGCACGAATTATTGTTATTTAATTTTGGTGAAGGGGTGTGGCCCCCCTTTATGTGACAAAGTATCGAAAATCCGATCCGTAACACACTGTATAGCTGTAAATAAATATACTTAATGTGTTGTGTTTGTTGCTGTTGTGTTCTAGTGGTCTTGTTGGGGTTTCCTTCGTTGAAGTTACACCAGTTACTTATAGGTGTTGTAGGTAAATAATTAACACTACTAACACTATAAATATTGTCTCAAGAAGATGTTCCTGTCAAGAGTTTGGTAACGACCATTATTTTGTAACCAGTAGGGTGTTTGGCGGAAACTGTATTAGCATGATTGGCCTCATGTAACACCTCTTTCTTATGAATTTCAAAATCGAAAACCTACTGCAATATGTATGTTATACGACTCAATGTTCGAAAACGGAATCTCGATACGTAATTGAATAAAATTGTACAGATCTAGTCAAAATTGCCCGGCAAAAATGCATGCATGAATTCTATCATCCGATGCATGTATCCACACTAAGCAATAAAGCTTATTATGACATGTATTTTATTTTTCAATTTTTACAGAACACTCTGGTCCATGATATTGAAAACTCAGACTCTCCCTACTTAAATTTGAAGCAGGGCAACTTATTCTCTGTGGCAGTATTACAACGACAACCATTAAAACTTTCTGAAAAAGTCAAGGTAAGAACTAAAGATTATTTTTAAACTCTAGGTGGCGCGAGTGAGGTTTAAGATCTCCTATCAAATTAGTAGTGAAGTTGCAATGTTTAATCTGCTTTAGAGTTTGTTGAAATTAATGAATTTTCTTTTTTACTGTTTAACTAGTAATTGATTGGTTAATTGGCCGGGTGTCGGGTACGATTCGAGTCTGGACTTGTGCCCGGTATATGGCAATAGGCTCACCCCCTATTACATGAGACTCATAACATAAATAGTGAAAAGTGGGTATTACATTGTACAGTGGCATAATGTACACCTCTGCCTACTCCTTCGGGGATAAAAGGTGTCATGTTATGTGATTGGTTCATTAATTTCTTCGTTTTTCTTTCCAGCCATCAGAAAACCTCTACCTCAATTCTATAAAGAACGCAACAATGAAACGCTTGGGAGAAAAATCTAATTCACTCAACTCAAAACACAGCATCTTTCATAAAAAGGAGGCAATGAAGATTGAATCCCTTGACGACAAAGTTGGTGGCAGTTTGGACATATCCTATGACGGTTTAGGGGGCCACTCAAAGCTAGACACATTCCCAGTCCCTAACAGGACCCCAGTCAAAAGCTGTATCCCCAAATTGTCTGCTAAACACAAACTCAAACGCCCCAATCCAACTGGTAGTCAGGATATCGAAAAAATGCTCAAAAAAATTAAAAAATAATAGTGTTGATCGCTATAGAAACTCTTTGAAATACCCAGTGTAAGTACATCACTATTATTATGTTACCATTTGCAAAAATGTTGCGTTTATTTATTGTTTATGGTAATACTGTCGCATTTGTTAAGTAGTTATTTAATTGTATTATTTTTATTGGTATTATAATGTTAATGATTAAGGGTTCTCACCAAATGTTTGATTATTAAGTTGCATTCATAATTTTATTTTAGCTATTGTATAGTCTATATAATTTTTTTAATCTGTGGTTTCATAAAGGTGAAAACATACTCTTTTGCAACTATTATGTGTAAAAATGAATCTAAATATTTAAAAGTAGTATTAAAGCTTTAAGAATTTAACAGATGTAAGAAAGACCTTGTATTAGAATTTATGAAGCCTTTTTAATGATAGTGGGTAAAAACCTCAAGGACTGGACATGCCCAAGTAAACAGCTTTATCTCTATTAATGTTAGGATATATTTAAATACATAATTGCATTTATAAGATAAGAATTACACACTATTTTATTAGTTACCCACCGACTTAAATAGCTGTTGGTCATCGAAAGTAGTTAGGTATGCTGTTTATCACATATTAAAGCAGGCAGCAGTGACAAGGTTTGCATATATTTAGACAGAAACGCTTATAACTTCTTCTGGATTCATGAAAAACTATTGGAATGTTGTTATTTCCTACTATATTGTGTAAATTAATATGTGCCAACTACATGGTAGTACTTGCTTCTTCTAAAGATTGAGAAACGCCAGAATGAATGTTGTTTCTTTCTTTCACTTATAAAATACATTATATTAAAAAGAGATAATAGTACTAAAACGCGTTTTGTAATCTGTTTATTGACATAATGTGCAAAAAATCATAAAAAAAGTATTGATATTCAGTCTAATAGGATTCCTAAAGTTTATGTTAATTGTCTAGCTTTTGAAATACAAGCAGAAGGTTACTTATGGTACAGATTACCAGCGGATTTCCCTAGCTTAGTATGCTATTTTGATTCCCAACTTTATTATTTGGTAAGAAGGTCGAAAATCCATTGAAGAAATTTGACAGGTTAGAATGATGGTTGAATTGTGATTGAATGTAAGCCAAATGTGAATGGTAAATGCACTACAATAATGCCTCTTCTTACTCACAAAATAAAGACTGTAGTGCATTTTACACCTTTGATAGTTATAAGTATATTTTTGATATGGGTTGAAAATATTTGGGTGGATGGAAGGTTGTGAAGAAAGAAGGTTCTAATTGAGAAATACATTAAATGTAAAGCATGAAACTGCCTTTAGTAGGATTAAGATTGATTGAGAAATGTTCTATCAAAATGTTTATAAATATTCTTTGCTGTTTGCATAGTTACATTGCTCAAAGTGCTATAACTAAACGCGGGTTTATTTAAAACATTGTTATGTTAAAGTATGGGTATTAATATAGGCATGATATAAATGTTTTATGTATGAATTATCAAATACAACAACTTTGAATTACTTTTGCATTAAAGTGTAACTATTCAAGAAATATTACAGGAAATAATGTAGCAACTCTCGGTATGTTTCAATTTTGTGTTGCCAGCTTCTGATACTCAGATGTTAAATGATACCTATAAGTAAAATACAATACAACATTTTTAGTGAACATATTACTGAAATAAAAAATGTTTTCTAGATGCTTGTATTTTTCTTTATATTCATATTTGGTTGTCTTAAAATAATGCCTACATTTAATTTTAGTTCTGTGAACAGTGGTGTTTGAATCAGATATTTATGTATATTCTGAATGTGATCTTATATTATTATTTTATGTGTATAGTTTGGAAATAAGACTGCAAATAATTATCATGTAATAAAATGTATCAAATGAATGTGTTGTTTCTTTATACAAACTTCTACTTACAGGAGCAACAAAGCCCATGGGCTGTTTGATAGTATAGCGATCACTAATTTTATTATCATGTCTAGATTGGATTGTTGTGTTGCGTTACCAAACAACGGTAACAACGGTTTTTGGATATAATCAGACAAAACCCTGATTATACTGGTATGGTCATGTATGGTATGCCATAATTAATGCAAATCTAATAGCGCAAATCATGATCAAATACTGTTACCTATTTATAATACGAAGTTGTTAATAAAACACGATTATTAATTAATTGAACAAATGCTAGCTTAACTAACTTCTACAACAATTATTGTTTGTGAAATTATTCAAAACGTTTCGTATACAACGAAGGACGTTGAAAAAAACGGATATAATGTTACCTACTTAAAAAGCACCAAAATGAAAATGAGAGACTGATGTCCTTTGTGTCAATATGTGTATGTTCATAAGTCCATACAGATACAGTCATTGTTTCAAGAGACTGTGCCCGCCATTTTTTCAACGACCATAATGTACAACTATTTCTTATTTGAAAAAAAAAATATATTAAACCTTTTTTTTAATGAAGATGTTCCACTACAATGATTAAACTAAACGCAATCTTATTGTTGACATTACGTTTGACAGTTTGTGATTGTGCGTGTCGCTCGTTTCGTCGATTTTATTTATAAAATATCACATTTTGTCTATTAATAAACCAACTGAATACTTTTAGAACAACATTTAGATACAGCAGGGGCGCTCCAAGGTGCAGTGTTTATATCACAAGCGCGTAATTAAATGATATTCGGAGCGCGAATATTTCGTGTGTTAATTCGTACCGAAACGATGTTTTCTTTTGTAATAACTGAATTTTTTTGTGATAATGTGATTTAGACAAAGTTTGGCTAGTGTCTGTGTGCTTGAAATAACCGTATCACATATCATTGATCTGTACAAATCAATGTATTGATAAGATATAAAGTTGTGTTTTCCTTCTGATTAGGAAGGTTCAGAAGTGATAATCTGGTATGAAAGACGTGATAATAGAGTGTACAATGCTGTCGTGGTGGGTCTATTGAATTATTGACTTGTTGTTTAAGTGTTAAGTGTGAGTGCAAATAAGCGAAAATGCCTGGGAAGATAAAGGTGAAAGTGTTGGCAGGCCGGAACCTCCCGGTGATGGACCGGGCTAGTGATACGACGGACGCGTTCGTTGAGATAAAATTTGGGAGTATCACACACAAGACTGATGTGTGTAGAAAGTCCCTGAACCCTCACTGGAACAGCACAGAGTGGTACAGGTTTGAGGTAAGTGGCCAACTGTTTTTGAATTTGGAAAAAGCAATTCTTAAAAATGTTATGTCCCATCCAACAACATTTTTTTTTTAATAACAATAACACAGTGGTGGGCAGTGTTTATATTACCCTGTTGAACTGACACAAACAGGTGGTTTTAATTCATGACGCTTGTAATGTTTGTTTAAACTATCTATTCTTGTCCTCATAAATATTATTTGGTTACAACATAAAATAAAATTGTTTAACTGACCACACACTAGTATACAAATACCTTCACTTTAATTTTAGGTACCCACCTACAAATTTTGTTTTGCATTAAACTGACTGATGAATAATTACCAAACTATGTTTTGAATTTTAATGACCGTCCATTATCAATCAAAAGTTATTTATAAATATAGGTAGTGATAGTAACATTTTTGTTCATCAACATCAAAACAATGCAATGTCAAGATAAAGGTTAATATTTAAAATTGTGAATAGTATATTGTTCTGCCTCACATTGAGAAAACAATAGCAAATTATTTTGTGAAAATAATAGGTAGGTAGTTATTACCTATAAAGTTAACTTTATGCTAAAAATTTACTCATACTCACCGTCATACATTTATCCCCCGAAAGGCTAGGTGCACCTTAGTGTACTTAATGCCACTGTCCTATGTAACACCCACTTTTCACTATTTACGTTATGAGTCCCATCCCATGCAATAGGAGGTGAGCCTATTACCATATACTGGGCACAATTCCAGACTCAGTGCTACTAAATACTGAGAGTTTTTTTTAAATCCAGTAATAGTTTTCCATCCAGTAGTAGTTAGTTAATCCACTCAGCAAAAGAGGCAATCTTATATATAATAATCAATGAATATAAACTGGACAGTAGGCAATCCTATGTCTCCTATGTCTTCTCTTTAAACTGTCAAATACCAAGCGGTCACCGGTGACCGCAACCTATTGTTCTATAATTGTGTCTGCAAAACCGGTACTCGACGAGTTAATTAGTGACCTCTTTCTTGATCAAGTAGTTGCAACTGCCAAACAAGGAGACTTTTTTTTTTTTAAGGGGTGAAAATCATCGAATGACTGTTCCCGCCTGGGTGAGGCGGAAGGGAGTGTCAGACTCTTAGTGACTAAAAACCACCCCGTTCCTTCTCCTGCACGTCGAGCCGGAGCCCCGGTTACCCGTTAGGTTCTCCGCGACTCCGAATCGGCATCGGCCCTATTGGGCCCCATCTGTGGTGGTCTGATGGCTCTTTGAGGTGCGCGCGGAACGCGACGCGCCGTACGCTCGGGTCTGTTTCTGGTCGGACGGGGAGCCACCCATGCTCGCCGTCCGCAGGCCCGCGCTTACGGTGGCCGGAGATCGTCCCGCGAAACAAGGAGACTTGGGTCTAATATAGTATTAGTGGAGATTTTACAGTTGTTTGAAAATTTTTGGTAATAACATAAGAGTCTGAAATTGTGCATGGTTTATGGCAATAGTCTGATTCTGACACTATTTTACATGAGACTTGAGATGCAACTGGTGATAAGTAGGCATTATAAATCTTATATCTTATCCATATACTATTATATAAAGCGAAAGGGCTTGATTTTTTGTTTGTTTGTTTGAACGCGCTAATCTCCGTAACTACAAGTCTGATTTGAATAATTCGTTTTGTGTTAAATAGTGCATTTATCGAGGATGGCTATAGGCTATAAAACATCACGCTACCACTAATAGGAGCTGAGCAGAGCGTGTGAAACCACGCGGAAGTAGCTATTAGGTACTACATATATATAACTGACTTCAAAAACAGGAGGTTCTCACTTTGACCTGTAGTTATGTATATAATTATTAATTGGTTCAACCGATTCTGATGCGAGTTTCAGAAAAGTGTTTTTTACACTTAAGAAAAGGTTTTAGTATATTTATAAATGAACTTCAAAAAAAGCCCGGATTGAAGTCGGTTTTAATAAACGCAGTTTATAATTACAAGAATTATTCACCTATGTAACTATTATGCATCTCAGTTTTCCTCTTTGAGGATTAAACCGCATGAAGATAAGGCTCGTACACAAAACTGCGATGCGATGCGAATTCGCAACGCAGAAAATTACGGCACGAATTGCTGCGATGTGATTTCGTGCGACAGACAAGGCCAGGAAATGGTCTCCCAGGGTGACCATTCCTTCGACGACCGTCAACCGTACTAAACATTTTAAATTGAAAACTAGTTTGTGACATGGATCGTAAAAAGAAAAGTGTACACTTCTGTTATTGCTTAGGAGATATAGGAAAAAGAAATAAAGAAGAATTTGGGACGACTTTGATGCGCGATGCGATTCAATTTGCAAGTTCTTGCGATGCGTAGATCTTGCACATTTTTACGATAAGCCCTTATGTTGTAGGAATTAATAATTTTGTTATTGCAGATAAAAGTCATAAAAATGAAAGTTTATGATAACTAGCTACTTTATTAAACAGCTGATACTTTCCATTAATAGATAGTGAATTAATAATATAGGTCATATTAGTTGTTATCTAAGTGGTGTTAGATAAGAAATACCTGATAAGCTTAACAAAGTTATAACTAATGTAAAGTAGCTTTGTATGTATATGTGTTTATTTGTAGAAAGACAATTAGTTATTTATTATGTCTCTTTCCGAATGATATTTAGTATGAACTCTTCTATGTTTACTCTTCTACAGCTACAGTCGGTAGTTAGTTTATATTTCATGTCTATCAGTCAAAAATGGCACAGTTAGCACGGTGGCTGGGCAACCGGCTGCCGAGTAAACGGTTCCTTTACGAAGCAACTCTTTGTGTCAATCAAAAAATTTTGTTTCGGGTCTGGGTGATAAGCATTAACTATAATTCATTTATAAAGTTCTCCAACCCACTATACAAGACAAAAGCCTGCCTAGTGGGGCGCAACGTTTTTTTTTATTAAATATGGTCACAAATAACATTTTGAACTCTTTAAATTCGTTATAGGATGCTTTTACACACCCCACATTACTTGCAGACAATTTAAGGAACATACCTAAATTAAAAATGTATAGCAAAATTTCGCGTGAGGAACTGAGATCTATCGTCCTAAATATTGGTCCTATATTAATGAATTTGAGGATTGTTGGAGACTCAGGAAATGGGGAGATTGGGGGGGGGGGGGGGGGGAAGCCATTTCTTTACCTCAGCGATATTATTTCCAACTTCTCCATGTTTTTCTTTCCTTTAAATACTGCCCATAGACGAATAATGAAAGTGAAACTTATCATACATGATATGAAATGAATTATTTGATGATCATGATTCAAAACCCACGCGGGCAAAGTCGCAGGCGAAACATTATTCTTAGTTACTGAAATACGCAAATTGTAAAATACTAGCCTACATGTCGCACTGCAGACTACAAACAATAAAAACCGCACGATTTGCTTACAATGTAGTCACTCCAAACTTTTTATGTTTGCCTGTAAATCTTCGTAACTAATCACGTAAACCAATGTAAAATATGTCTTACACTGAGTATCAGTTAAAAGGTTTAAGTCAATACCGACTTTTACTATGCAAATAAAACGTTACATTGAACCAATAAAAATGTAATGCCGAATGTACTAAGATTGCGTAACATGATTAAAGTTGTTTGCGTAATACTTTAATTAGCACATAAATTAATATCTCTATTTAAATATTACAAAGCGCGTCTTGTCAAGGTAAGTAGGTAAATGATTTGTATCAGAGACAGTGTAGAACATACTTTTTTAAAAGAGTAACGAATGGAGTTTCTTGCTCGTTCTTCTCCTTTCGAATCTACGTTTTGGAATGAGCACCTAGCTTCACCTAGCTTCACTGACGGACTGACTGACAGACTATTATTTATTTTGTATTTGTTGACGTTTCAAAAGTACCAAACTATGGTTTAATTGAAATAAATGCTTTGACTTTGACTTTGACTTTGATTTAAATGTAGATTTACACTTAATAAATGTCTCATGTATGTGTCGAAATCATGCGCAAGACAGACGATAGACAGACAGTTTCAGTTTCGTGCACATCTTTGACTGGATGATTGAATCCCTAATAGTAAAACTCCTTTGGACTGGTTACAATACCAGTTTCGACAAACCAAACCATTAAATCTAATGCGTCCTTCTAACTATGAACAATTGGACTGATCGAGAGTTTCAGTGGCTCTCCAAAATAACTGCCCCTTATAGTTATTAATGTCACGGAATGAAAAAGATGGTTAATCTGAAAATTTTACATGTTTACTCGTTTAGCGCAAAATATCCTACGAACTGTATCAGTGTTATTGAATTTTGCTAAGAACAGACAGGGAACCCCATAGACTCTATCGTCATCGGCCTGAATTTTCTTAATGCCGACTCCTAATCTCTTCAAGAAAAGAGCAAGACAAAAAATCAACGTTGTGAGCCAGAAATTCAATCAATCTTTGTACAGTTACCTAAACATGAGACTAATGCTTAACTGAACGATTTAACAGCAACAAAAGTAACCGGAGCTAATGAGCTGGCGTACAAAGAACCATAAATATTAATTGACCGAAGAGGCGTCAACGATGACCTTGGGACAACATTATAATCAGTTACACTCATTACACAATGTAGAACATGTACAATATGTACATCTATCTACCGAAACAGCTGATATGTCTATCCTATGTGTCGGACCAAGAATAGAAAATCGGAATGCACGTGTGAGAAAGATTATAAAAGGGATAGTTAATTTTGAGTTTCTTTATTTGTTTGTCTTCATTTCTTGTCTCCAGCCAGTGATACTTTACTGCTGTCACAGACTATGACCTGTCTTTACATAGGAGAATTGGCGGAGTCTAAAATATTCAGGTTTAGACTGTGGTTGCCTGGTCTCTGAGTTGGCTTCTACGGTACCCACAGGACGAATATACTACCGTCTCTACGACACTTGTTGCTCTTGCTTCGAATGATACTTTGGCCCGCCTCAAATGATTGGAATGCTGATCATTTATTGCGTTATATCATTATGTAAAGCTTTGTTTAGAAATGCCTGTCACAATAAAGCTCCTGAGATTCCGACCAGTTTATACCCAGAATGATTAGTTAGTTTCCTCTGTGAGAAACTCGTAACTTTGGTGCGAAAACTATAGACGTAACTGTGTGGAGATATTTCGGAGTTCTCTAAAACTTTGATTGAAATCGATAATTGTTTGAAAGTAGAAGAGAAGGTTTTCTATAGGTAACTAAAATCTTAGTAAAAGTCTTCTGTTGATAGGTACAGTAAAACATAACTATGAATTGTTGCACTTTTTAGAGCAGAGGTTTTGAAACAGTCAGTTATGTTGTTGGCCCTATTCTTCGCTATGACATTGGTGATCTAATCTCGTGTGAAAGAAACAATAAAAAAAATTCGTCTTCAAAATAGCAGACCTTGCACTGAAAAGTTGGAATAGATAAAGAACTTTCATATTTCACATACTAGCCTCACGATTTTCATAATCTTCGAAACGTGCCAGAATATTTGGCGTCGTTGACAGTGACGTCACACCGTCATTTATGCCATGTGCCGTTGCCAGTATTATCGCGTCCACGTCTGGCGCTCGTCTGCTTGCCCATTTGTTTGTGCATTTCCACAATGTGTGTATCCAATGATTCAATATTGATTTGGATCGACGCCAAATAAAGTTTTATTAGATAGCTTTTTTGCGCAGTCTTCATTTTGCGGTGATTTAGAGTGTATGATTAATGGTTATGGTGGTTCGACCTCTTTTTGTTAGTTGGAAGAAGGCTTTTTAAAAAAGGACTTGACTTCAGACTTTATTGAACCTCGTAGCTTGCTCAATATCATCTGAATATAGGGACTGAAACTTAGGCACCTTAGAAGATAAATTTTGTCAACCATTCATTTCGTTGTGATGGAATAGTTTTCTCTTCAAAAACTAGGCGTCTCTCGAAACTCTTGCTCGTAAAAAACTAGTCGAGAAAAAAAATCTCGTATATATCTTACTGCGATCTCCAACATAAAATTGATGCCACAGGCTGTTGGTGACGAAGATTTTGAAAATCGCACTCAGACAGAACTAGTTACCCAGTTCGTCTTCTAAAACCTAACATAAACCATAGCTTGTACAAAAAAATATCTGCTGTCGTAATCTGATAGACAACATACAAATTTTAGATTTGTTGTTCCTTTACACTTCTCTATGTCTTATACTGTCGCTTTCCGAAATATTTACAAGCCGAGGTGTATTTTTAGAGCAGTGTCCTCTACTCGCACTGAACAGTTTGTTTTTCAACACATTTGCGAATTCGCAATAATATGTTTTCGCACACGTAACCGTCTGATGCGTATATTATCCGGAAGCTGCGATCATTTCAATATGTTTTTGTTTGGAGATGTAAGCTGTGATGAAGGAAATATTGCCTGAAGAATGGAAGATTATCGTATGTTCGGATATTTTTGTATAATTCAAGTACCTATGTGCGTACAACGCTGTTTGTTTTTTATAATAATAGTCTAACTGTTTTGCTACGCAGTTTCTGTAGCTTACGCCGTAAATTGGTCCAATAACTTTAGAAAGACATGCAAATAAACTGCAACTGGTTTTTATCGTGGCGGAATAGCTCTCGTAATGTATTGAAAACTACCAATAAACTTTTGAATGTTAATATAGTTATAAATGAGTTGCAATTACCTACTGTTAATTGAAAAGTTACGACAGCGCTAAAACACCATAACTGTTAGTTACATCTGTTTTCGATTTCATATGGTTCCAAATGGCAATGCACTTGGGAAAAGGCCAGCAATAACTATGTATCGTTTTTACAACAATAAAATAGATACTTACCTCATTATGTTCTAAATGACCTTGACAAATTCACGTTGCACTTAAACAATAAAGCCAGAATAATCACACACGTTCCGAGCATTTTGTGTGCAACTATGATATCTGTTGATGCAAGTCTTTTAACTACAATGACAGACATTGTCCGTCTTTTAGATTTGTGATTGCACTTCCTTTTCAATATTAATCTATCAATTCGTTAATTTAATGCCTGTCTAAAAGCTTGTGTAGTTACATCGATATGTTTTCCTCTAATTATTTAGTAGCCTAAATAAATTATTATGTTTTCGTTTTACTCACGTAATTATTTGACGAGGAACTCGACTAGTTTCAAGCTATGCTAGAGGCTCATATTCATGAGCAGTATTTCGCGAACTGCGACGCGGCGACTGTCGCGCTGCTACTGTAGACATTATATGAGTAAGGCGAAAACATAATAATTTATTTAGTATATCTCACGAAAGTTATAATACTAGTAAGTAGGCTTTTACAGAATCAACATTCCTTCCCTGACACTTAGTCATCGTCAGTGACTGTGTAATTGAATGGATCTCAGGAATTGCTGGTCCGATTTGAATAAATCATTTTGTGTTGGATAGTCAATTTATCGAGGAAGGCTATAGGCTTAATAATATCACGGTACGATCAATAGGCACCGAGCAGATCGTACGAAACTGCGCGGAAGTAGTTATTTAGAAAAAAAAATTAAAAACTAGGATCGGGTAAATACCTAACATTCATCAGGTATAAGGAAGTTTTGGGTCTAGTCCCCTCTACAGTTATTGATTAGTGTTAGGTACCTACTGAAGACTTATGTCTTGTCTTCAGTACCTAACTAACCTACTACTGCATAACATAACTAACAATAACGGACTAAACTCTTAATTATATCTCCAGGTAGACGAATCAGAGCTTCAAGATGAACCCCTCCAGCTTCGACTGATGGACCATGACACGTACTCCGCGAACGATGCTATCGGAAAAGTAGTGATCAGCCTTGCTCCACTGCTGGCGAGGGAAGCCAACAACGCCAAGAGTACTGCTACACCTCATGGGGGTAAATAATATTTAAAAATCTTAGAAAAATAACAAAATCACTAACTAGTCGAATTTAGCTCGATTTTCCTTGTTCTGGTTTCCTTGCGTTTGTTTTTCTGAGGGGCTTTTGACTATAAAACAGCACGCTATGACTAATAGTATCCGAATAGCGGGTGAAAATTGCGCGCGAGTAGATTGTATTTTTATAAATTTTAGGCCATTACAATAAAAGAACGTTTGGCTCTTGTTGGCTCGTAAGATAGTAATGAAAAATTAAACTAAAACGTAACATATGATTCAAACATTGCCAAAAACGATTAATTCTTCTTTATCTGAAATTCTAAAAGTGATTTTTATAATTAAGTGCTTAGTATAAAACTGAATTCAAGACATTTTATGACTGCTTTAAAAGTTGCACAAAGACGCAAAATCTTTCTGTTACTATGATCTCGAAATAACTGTAGCTAAACTTACTTGTTTGTTTGAACGCGGCGTATTGAATAATTATCTGTGTTGGATAGTCCATTTATTGAGAAAATAAGCTAACATCCCAACTGACTATAAGAAATCGCTTAACCTTTATTGGTGAGATGACCAAACTTTGAAAATCATAAGAATTCCTAATCAAAAAAGAGTAAGATACAACACGAATCACTGTCATGAAAAACGATGTTTAATATTAAAAGTTTGACTGCCAATAGAAAAGTGTTGAAGGAAATTCCTCTGCTAACGTCGGTCACCTGTGACCCCCATGGCGTTTAACGTGTTAAAGCAAATACTTATAGTAGAAAAACGCTTTGTTCCTCTAACCCACAGGTGCAGTAATGTCCGGTTGGATCCCTGTCTTCGACACGATGCACGGCATCAGAGGCGAATTGAACGTCATCGTGAAAGTGGAGCTGTTCTCAGACTTCAACAAGTACAAAACTTCCAGCTGTGGAGTGCAGTTCTTTCATTGTATGTATTTGTCTTATATTTTGAAAGTGGCATGTTTTTGAGGCAGAAGTTACATATTCATTCATGTATTTTCCAGCTATGTAATATGTTTTTTACTGAATACAAACCCTGTGGAATCGGAAATATCTAATTCGATAGTTCCGATTCTGTCTGTAGGTACTCTTTACTACTCGTCATAGGGGCGGGCAATCTCAAGATTTCAAAAAAAATCTTAATATTGACATTAGTTACTGTGTTTTCGACTTACTCGCGTCCCTGTTTGACGAGGAACTCGACTAGTTTCAAGCCATGCTAGAGGCTCATATTCATGAGCGATATTCCGCGACACGCGACGCGGTGACTTTCGGGTCGATTTCCTCGTCAAACAGTTACGTTGACTAAGCCGAAAACATAATAATTAATTAAGTATGTCTCACGAAAGTTTTAATATAAACATTGACAGTATTTAGATATTACCTATGAATAATATTTATTAAACATAACTACGGCCAATATTAACTTGAACTTCCTCTCTCCAGGTCCAATGATACCTCCAGGCTACAGAGCGACTTCTATCCATGGATTTGTTGAAGAGCTGGTGGTAAACGACGACCCTGAATACCAGTGGATTGACAAAATCAGAACCCCTAGAGCATCCAACGAAGCGCGACAGGTGGCCTTCATCAAACTTAGTAACCAGGTATGTTTATTAAAAAAATATAAAAAATGCGTGTCTAAAACCTAATCTAATGGTGTCAATGCTGTATTAGTAAAAAAATAATGAAATGAGACATTTCAAATTAATTCCGATATACAGCTTAGTCACGTAATTGTTCAGGGTTGCTCGATTAATTTCGGGTCGGAGTCAGGGCTCAAAATCACGACATCATCAGCGGCTTAAGTCAGACCGTCAGTCATAAAATAGGAATTACGAACTGTGACTTTAACGGTGATAAATAGAACGTCTGAAAAAATAAATTTGTAGCTTTTTTGAGAAATAAGTATATTATTATTCAAAATGAGTACGTGCGTGCGTACTTTCTGGACCATTTAAAGGTACAAATATATTTTGATGTTAATGTTTGTCGTCAGGTCCAGCGTTTAGTAGGTCTGAAAGCGGCTGAGCTGGGGGCCAACGCTGTAGTTGGTTACCAACAGGACTTTGATCTGGAAGGGGAGGCAGGAGTCGTGGCTAGAGCTATCGGTACGTTAAACATTTAACTAACTTTGTTAAACAGAAGTGTACACATATTTCCCAGCTTTGCAATACATGACCTGGGAATAAGGTTCAATTTCACGTTACCTCAAATTTAATCCCTCAAGACCACATATTAGTTATCTAGTCATAGTTCTCTCATATGCATACTTCATACCATGACGCAATTAATAATTTATTTTTTGAACGATAAAGATCATTTGTAGGGCAACACTTTTGACGTGTTTACCGGTAAAAACAAATGAACATCATTCAAATTTAATCTCCTATCGATTGCAGGTACCGCCGTCAGTATAACTCCTCTACCCATGCCAAGTCAAACGTTAAACATGCCACCTTGCACGCAACAGTGAGTACACACAATATTCAACTTTATCTACAATGCAATAAAATTCCAAATACAAAAATAAAACAACCCCCTTCAATTTAAAATTTATTTTCTTGTCCCAAGGCTTTATAAGTCTATTGATTTCTTAAGTATAGTTGCCAAGGTTACTGTAATCTAGACTAGTCTATTTAAAACTAAAAAGCTTTAAATGTTCGTAATAAATGTTGACAAAACAGTAACTTAGTTTAAACCAGAGTTTTTTGTTAAACAATTTACTTATAGTTATATTTTTGCATGGTTTGTTGTGTCCGCTAACTTAAAACAGACAATTAAAAAAGTATTTGGACATTTTGGCGACTGATAATGAAAGTATTACGGAAATGTCTGCTTACTACCAGACGCATCAGGAAGAGCTGCAGAAACTCCTCTCGATCTTGAATCCTAATGCATCAGCTTTACTAGATGAAACGGATGCTCTTGAAGAAGACGAAAGTATGGACATGACGAGGCATCCCAGCATTAACAGCTACGCTGGAAGCGTCTCCATATACAGGGATGAATATCCACACAGAAGCAGCCTCAGACACCTATCAGAAGACCAAACAGATCTGAACAAACTTCTCAACAGAGAAAGTGACGATTCCGACTCTTCAGGACCAATCGAGAAACTGAAGAAGATTAAAACTAACTTTTTCACTAAAAGATTCAGTCGTCGATCTGCTAACAAATCATCTTCGTCAGACAAACAGGAAGACACAATATCTCTAAGATCTAACGCGTCTGATTCCTCACGAATCTCTCTAGGCGATATAAAACATGAATTGAGGAAATTAAGCTTAAAGAAACCGAAATTCCGTAAACCATTCGTTAATAAAGAAGATGAGGGCGAAGGTATGGCTTCAATCCTGGCTAGATCGATCATTCATGTTCAAACAGGTCTCGCCTGTATTGCTGAGACACAAGACTCAGAAGCCTCTCCAGGATCCACCTTAAGACGAACGAGTGAATCCGAACCTGCCCTTAACATATCCGATGATGAGAAAGTCAAGGCGAAAGAAAACGATGGCCCCACAGAAGAACCAAAAAACATGCCGGAAATAAGATTCACTTCTTTGAGCAATATTAATTCTGATCAAGTAGTGCCGCCGAGGGAGCGAAAGATATCCGAGTCTTGTCCAGCTACTCCAATGCCAGAGAGAAACGAAAATCTCCTAACATTGCCTGGAGACCCTGGCTACTTTGGATCAGTTTCCTCTGCACTATCAGCTGAAAGCTCCGAGCTGGAGTCCAGTAGCGATGAAGAAGACGACGATGAAAGTTCTGACTTAAAAACAGATACCGAAAGGTCTATAGAAACTACCAGCTCCATAGTGCAATCAGTTCTAAGCCATGACATTGATCCAAAAGTGATTGCTAGCATGGATAAAAAGTTAAACATCCTTGAAGGTAGCCCGGATCCTATTGAAACTAAATCAGTACAAACGAAAAAGGAAATTGATAAGAAAACAGAAGTAGAACAACAAGTATTCGATAATCAAGTGCTTATTGACAAATGTAAATCACTGGAGTCAGTGCCTCGAGAAGTCGAAAGTAAGATAGTTGTCGACAAACCAGTGAGATCAAACGAAGCTTCGACGTCATCGGTGAAAGACGACACGTGTGTAGCAAAACCCACTACCCATCACATTAAATTCCACAATCCCTTCTCTCACAAAAAGCCTGCTAAAAGCATTAGCGAGCCGTCATCTCCAGTAGATAAAGGTAGCTTCGTCCATCGTTCTTCCCGACGTATACGACGTCAATTGTCTAAGCTGTCTAAAAGCAATATGATTAAAAGTATTTCTCACTATTCTTTGCATCCGAAAAAGAAGGAGAATAAAACTCCTTTGAGCCAGCCTGGGTCGTCTTCCGATGTTCGTTCGAAAGCTCCTAGTGAGACTGTCCTGGGTTCTCCATTCTTGTCTTATAGCGATTTGATGAGTCTCGACAAGGACAGTATTGATACGCACAAATTCTTTCACAAAAGCGATGAATTTGATCACGTAAAAGTATCCATGTATATTGGATCGGAGCCTGTTTCAAGGTCCTCTCTCAGTGGTATTTCGTCTCTTTACCACAAAGAGGAACCTCATCATCACACTGAAAAGAAACACTCTCTGAAGTCTACAGGATTGGTTCATACTGCCATGGAAACTATTCTGCTAGATAAAGTGCAGTCGTTGCTTTTACCTACTTCTCCTGATTCAGAATCTGTTAAGAACAAACAGTTTTTCGATGATGTTAATGAGAAGTTAGGTAAAGTTGAAGAATATAGGAATAATAACAGTTCTTCAGTCGGCAGTAGTATTAATATAGCACCATCCAGTAGACCAAAGAGTCAGTCTCCACCTGTGAATACCAAACCAGTTGTTGTCAGTGGTATTAGGAAGGTTGACAAAGGACACGAACATAAAAACAAACCACCAAGCTTAGTACAAACTGCGATGGAAACTATGCTTATGGATAGAGTTCAGTCTGTCCTTATTCCGTCTACTCCAGATACTCCTCACCCAGAAATAGTGTTTGAAGGAAATGACCGTTCAGAAACTGGAGAAGGATCCAAAATGAAAGTTAAAAAACCTATAGCTTACATCCAGTCTTTGCTTAGTCCAAAATCTCCGGACCATACTTCACCAACTGAAAAATTCTTTGACAGTAAGCCTAAAAAGAGGGAATCCATGTCAACTGGACTGGTTCACACGGCAATGGAAACTATGTTGATGGAAAAGGTCCAATCAGTTCTTGGCCCGGAAACTCCTGAACCAGTTTCATCTGTATTTGATGATTACGATAGAGCACAGAGGCCTAACGATTTTAAAAAGAGAGAGGATAAACCACATGGATTAGTTCAAACTGCAGTGGAAACGATGCTATTGGAAAGAGTTCAGGCATCAGCCCTTGGTCGATCAGTACCAGATCCTGTAATAACTTCTGATGATAAACTTCACGAGTCGGATAGGAATGAAAGTTCGTCTGGCCTAACTCGCACTGCTGTAGGTACTATACTAATGGATAAAGTTCAAACATTGGTCGGACAGCCGGGTGTAGCTTTCGCTGTCCCGCTACATAGAACTGACACAGATTCAGATAAGTTTAAAAAATCCAGCAAAGATGATTTAAGGCCTACTGGTCTTGTGCATACAGCAGTTGAAACTATGCTTTTAGATAGAGTGCAGGCTTCTGCACTAGGTGCGCCAGTACCGGTAGTTCCATCAGAGGAAGACCAGGAATATATTTCGATTGATACAAACAAAAAGGAAGAAGTTGGTGGACTTACCCATACTGCAATGGAAACAATATTAATGGATAAAGTCCAGTCTTTAGTTGGTCAACCTGGCATCACCTTTGTTGAACCGAAAACGTTTTCTAATGATGAGCTGGAAGATGCTAGTCACCTAAACGATGATTTGAAATCGCCTTCTCTTGTCAAAAATGTTGTAAAAAATATATTGTTAGATAAAGTGCATACTTTAGCTGAAGAGAAAGAAGTAGCTGTTGAAAAGTTAAAAGAAATATTTGAGAAGTCTCCTTCTCGTGAAAATTTGAAGCCTGCAGGCTTGATTCATACAGCTTTCGAAACAGTTCTGTTAGATAAGGTTCAGGCTTTGATACCTGCTGAACCAGTTACATCTGAAACTAAGAAAGAAGACGAAAAAATAAACGAAAGTAAATCGGAAATCGACGCTGCGGTAAAACCGAAAGTTATCGATTCTGAAGCTAATAAAACTGTAGCACAAAGCGAAACAATTAAACAAATAGAAAAAAGCAAATCAGTACCCGAATCAAAGAAAAATAAAAGACTCACTCGCCAAAATAGCGTAGACTCAATAACAGAGACCGAAACGCCTAAAATGTCCAAACAAGCTAACATTTCACCTAGCGACGTAACCAAGCCTGTCATAGTGTCTCACCCACAACTTGGTGCACTAGAAACCATACCTTCGTTACCAGAGACCAGCATAGACGAAGTAGAAGGAGTAGACCAAATAGACCAAGTAGACGAGACTAACAATAGTGTGTGTGATAACTCGCATGCCGTGTGCGATATCAACAGGAGTGAACGAGACAGGGATAGGCGCGACGATAAGAGCGACAAGGACAGAGGATCGCCGCGCCACGCTCGTCATGAGTCGTACGGGGGGAGGGAGCCGGCTCAGGCGGCGCATGCGCAGAACTCTTCCTTGAACGCCACGTCGACGCCACTTGGGATTCACAGGAGGTCGTCCGATTCTGATCTTAGTGTAACGCCTAAAGGTAAGGATTTTTAAACTGTATTTCCTTGTTTCAGATGTGCAACTAGCATCAAATCTATAAAAATCTAGACGATTATATTATGTAACTTCATCATTGTATCATTTAGATCATGATCAGATTCACCAACGGACACCCAATTTCATGAACCGCCACTAAATCAAGAACTTTTTTTTAAACATTTTCTCCTGTGTCGTGGGTGCGTTTACAAACATACACAAGTTCTCATATACATCACACAAAGAGTTGTTCCGTGCGGGAATCGAACTCATTAGACTTTGCGCACTAGCCGATTGCCCAGCCACCGCGCCAACCGTGCGGTCAAATGTATTAATATTCATGTGATGAATTATTCGATAGCATTCGATTTTGGGCTCGACTGGCATAACATGGTCAAAGTCAAAGTCAGCATTAGTGCAAAATTCAGAACTACCTCTAAATAACGCAACGAATAATGTTTTCTTACTGAACTACTAATCACCCGGTTTTTTACCTAGTCTAAAAATCTATTAAATTCTAGGTGGATCATTAAACACATCGGCGGGTAACGTAGGTAGCGGTGGTGGCGCCATCTTGCGGCCGTCTATGAACAGCAACAACCTGGACATGCTGGAATATCCGTTCCTTACCATGACTGAGTATCCGCCGGGATTTATTGTGCATATTGGTAAGTATTTTAATGTGTACTATTTATTGTTATTATAACTCGTTTTGTCTAAAGTGAAATGAAAGCTTTATTATCATTTAAGAACTCTTTTTGTGGACTAATGAAGCATATTTGATTCATCGAATCTCCGTTAGTGTCAAAAGTCCATCCAACGCGCCGGTGTATTTTTTTTTATAGCTTAAGCCGATAAACGAGCAGACGGATCACCTGATGGTGAGCAATCGGCGTCGCCCATGGACACCTGGAACACCAGAGGCGTTACAAGTGCGCTACCGGCCTTTTGGGGATTAGGAGTTTGAGGATCGTTGGGGATTCAGGAATTGGGGAGATTGGGGAAGGGGAGGGTAATTGGGCCTGCGGTAACCTCACTCACACGACGAAACACTACGCAAGCGTTGCTTCACGTCGGTTTTGTGTGAGGCCGTGGTATCACTACGGTCGAGTCGGCCCATTCGTGCCGAAGCATGGCTCTCCCACACTTAAATGCTTATAATTATAAATGTATATAGCTTACCATCAAGCGATGTCATAAAAATGTAGTGATCAATGTCAGTTTAAAACTAACCCGAGAGACCCGAGACTCATAACATAAATAGTGAAAAGTGTAACACCCACTTTTCACTATTTATGTTATGAGCCCCATGTAATAGGGGGTCATCCTATTGTCATATACCTACTGGGCACAAATGTTACTACTGAGATTTTTTTTTAAAGCCTAGTGTTAACTTGCTCGTACCGGGAATCGAACCCGAGACCCGAGACTGCCCCGGCAGTCGAACTTGCGACCACTCGGCCAAAGAGGCGGTCAGGCAGGCAGCCGGTTAACAAAATAGTTATTAATTTAGGATGTCATAGCAAGGGTATAATACAGGAATTCAAGCTTGCTTGTTAATTCATAATTCATGATTAGTTGTTTTATAACAGGTGGTACAGTATGCGCTCGGTCGGTGAAGCTGGCGGACGGCGGGGAGGGCGCGGCGCGCGTCGCCTGGTGGGCCGAGCTCCGGACCGAGCTGCGCGCGCATGCGCGGGCACTGCGCTGTAACGCTGTCATTGCGTACACTGAGAACACTGCTATATGGTGAGTTGAATAATGTCATAGAAGAACGTGGTCTAACACAAGTATTGTATACTAACTTACTTACTGGGATTGCCTCAATGTTCGAAAGATATTGTAATTCTTGACATAATAAACAATTTTAATTGAATTGAGAAATAGATTTAATTTGGGAAGGGAACTGTCACTGTTGGTAATCAAAGTTACTAGGGTTAATAAAATATCGATTAAATTATATTATTTAAATGATTAAGTCCACATTCCTACACTTACATGTTACTTACATATTTGTACATATTTTAACACGATAAATATTCAGGCTTATCAGATAATGCTGTTGCTTAATCTCTGTCAAATATGTCCTTTTGGCTCCTACGGCAACCACGGGAAGTATAAGAGTGGTCAGAAAAATGAATTATTTCCCACCATCACCATATGGTTATTACGAATGTTAAAAATTGTTATATAACTAAAACCCGACTGGAACAAAACAAGCTCTAAAAAGAATCAAATAAGAAAATTTTCTTAGAGGATAGCCGTGGTCGTATGCCACATAATAATTGCATATATTTTTAGTTTTATATATTTTATTATTAACCCTCCTTTTGGCTTCGCCGTAGTCGGGTAATTGGGTACTTTCCTTAATCAAAAATTAATTATTTCGACAGGCCAATACAATAAAATATTTAAAAAATAATCACACTTTCATTAATTGATTTCATGATCAACTTAATTTTAGTATTTTTCGAGCAAATTTTTTAAGAAATAAGTATGCTGTTTGACGCTAAAAAAACCTGACGTCACAATACACAATCTTGTACAATCGAAAACTGTCATTTTTGGCAGTTTTAAAAAAGTATTGAATTTGACTAGTTGTCAAATACCGTATTATAACTTTTCCTTGTTGTAGCGAGGACGTGTGTGTGCTCTCAGCGTCCGGTACAGCGGTAGTGATCAACTTAGATTGCGACTTCAATGCCGAGCCAGAACCTAATTCAGGTAGTGTAATATTTGTCTTAATTATACCAAAAAGTCGTTTTAACGTCGAGTCTAGTAGTCTTCTAATTCTTTTCTAGTTCCTAAAACCAAGATAGGTGCATAAGGTTCAAGAAACTTCATGGTTCCTCTTATTCTTTTTTGGAATAAGATCTGCGTGACCACAGAGGTCTGAGGTATAATGGTATAATACATAAACCAAACTTATTTCTCCAACTTCATCGGGATTGAAGTATCCAGTCCGGAGTGTGAGGCGACAGGTTTTTTCTTTTAATTAATTAATGAAGTATGTTAATTACCCCAGCCCCAGCGTCGTCGGGTTCGAAGCACGGCGAGGAGTCAGACAGTGAGTCGTGCAGTATGTCCCACGTGCCGTACTCGCCGGGCGCCGGCCCGTACCGCGCCGAGCTCGCCGTCTGCGGGGGGTGTCGGTTAGTAACATACTACGAATACTAACGTTATTTTGTTTATCAGATAGCTTATTCCATTTGAAAACACAGGACCTCGTACTACATTAACACCATCTGGTGCCCATCTTAGGTCGCATCATCGCTTACCACCAGGCGAGAGTGGTCAAACGTCGGCTCGTCAAATATAAAAATAATTAAATAAATATAGAGCAGCCTACATTGGATTGCGTTCTATTTCATATCTTTTTCTTTTTTTAAAGTCACAGTCAAAATCATTAATTTCAATTAGACTAGAAAGGCACTTTTGAACGTCAACAAGAAAAATTGAAAGTGAAGCTATTTGCTCATTCCAAGGTGTAGATTCCTATTGAGACGAACGAACAAGAAACTCCATAGGTTACTTTCTATTAATTACACTCTTGGCAAAGCGGTCGTGATCGTCATGTAGGCGTGATGGCAAGATTCTGAGAGACTTGCCACTCGCCTTCCCTTGCACCACAAGCTATTCTACTCTACATATATGTATAGACAAGATCAATGTGATGTTTTGTAAAAAAACCATTAAGTTTAAAACTCGTCAATTCCGCCGCGTGCGTTCAATCAAGTTCAACAATGTAGAAAATGTTTATAATTTAAATAATTATGACAGTTTCACTAAAAGTATAACGTGTATTCCCCAGACGAGCCCGCGTGCCTACAGTACTGCTCGCGACATGTTCGAAGCCCAACAAGTTGGCGTCACACGCCAAAGCCGTCACACTCACTGCCGTCGGTAAGTTACACGAAATATTACTTCTCAATCACAAACGTTCATCCTAAAGTTAAAAAATTGAAAAAAGTCCTTGTTTTGATCTAAGTTCTCCGTAAAATTGTATATATTTGAAAATTTAACTAGGAGATGGATGTGGTACGATTAGGAATATAAGAAAGAAAGAAAGATTGTTTATTTGTAAAACATGCGTATACATAAACTTAGTAATAAGACATGCAAGATGTTAAATAAGTATGGTGTGCGTCCATGTTTCGCCAATAGTGGCGTACAAATTTTATAAGTGTGTAAATGAAGAAGCTAAGTTAGCCCTTCATTTAATTTAAATTTCCCGCGTATTTTGATTTGACTTTATACGTCAGTATAAACTGTGGTGACAGCTTTTTTCTACAATGTCAAGTACTCGGAACAATAACTAGGCATGGAAGCCAGGCTAAAATAGTAATTTACAAACGTATATCTGATGCTCTCGCTCTTTACACAATTTTGCGTAGGCGAGAATGAGACCGCAAACTAAACATAGTTCTATAATAATTTGCAGGTTGTCACAACTTTCAGTGGACTCATTACAATCTTATGTCATTGGACTTATTCAGCATACTACCAAATTCAAAATCACGTTTTGACGTTCTATGTTTCACAGTTTCACTCAAGTTTGACACCTTCCTCACTTTGCCGGATTATAGTACTGAAGTGTCACCGTGGTTGTATTTACGGCTCCTGATTATAAAAAATGTTTTTTATGGAATTAGCGCAAAAGAAAGGAAGAAAGGAAGTGTATGGTCGTTCTTTATTATGTGTTTTCCTTAATAAAAATACGTCTTGTGTGATTGACGGCTGCAATTCACATTTAGGAAGAAAAGAAAACAGTGGTGAAAAAATACACTTTCATTCGTAAGTTTTTGATATGTTTTAAAATAAATTATATTGGAAATACCGGTAAACTATAAATAAATGTTACTTATTTATTGTCGTACTTTTCAATTGTAAGCCTAAACAGTATTATTCCATCTTTTCCTAAAAAATCTAAATCAATTTTCTAAGTCAGTTTTTAAGCTAGTGATGTGGTCATGTTACATATCGATATTTTAGTTAGGCTTTGAAGTTCTTTATAGTATAGACGTCGTTTAGAACCCGAATCACATGATACCTTTGATGATTTGACAGACCACGACTACATTTTGTACCCATCATCTATTACGGAATATTCTAAAAATGTCATAGAATACATAATCGGCTTTATT